CTCGATAAAAATTAAATAAAATTATTATAGTTAATATTATAAAAATCGATTCAAGTTCTTAATAAGAAAAAATATATTTTATAATTTTAATGAGATTTATATTTTTATTTTAATAAATAGTGTAAATTAATCAATTAAATAACTTAATTACTAAATAGTGATCCCTTGATGAATGCATAAAACAGGCTTTATAAACATTTTAATTTTTATAGAAATAGTTCCAGCGAAATAGTCAAAAAAGGTTAGTTCTTAATTCTTAGCAAAACAATACGTAGGAGAGCGTAAAAGTTTAATGAAACAGTTAAATGGTCAAAGTCATGCTCTATTAATCTAATAGTTTATAAATACTCCAAACGTCACAAAATCTTCTAAAATAATTTTATGATCATGCTAAATTAAAATGATTTTTATAATGTGCTATTAAGCGTATGCGTACAAATATTTTTGAAATAAACAGTTATAATTTAAAATGGATAACAAAAGTGTTATTTTATGAGAGACAAAAAAAGTCGCGATTTTTGATTAAAATGACAAAAATGTTTAAGAAACAAATTTAAGACTTTCATATAGATTTGTAATAGTAATTCTAATAGCATATTTAAATATAAAGAAATTTTAGCTACAAGTAGTAAAATAAATAAATAAACCTTTTAAAACTTCATCTTTTTTTTTTTTTTGTAGATTGTACTTTTCTACATAAAAAATGTACATGCAATACATTTACAATATATATACATGGTAGATGAGGATATTTATTATCAATGATAGCCTCTATAATTTTTTTATTGAAGAAACCTAGTCGACTGTTTTACATATCATGGGTGATAAATATTCAAGTACGCCGTCATTTTAAAATTTTTTTAAATTTTTTATTTGTTCTGACGGTTCAACCCAAACATGTGAGGCATCATCAGGGCTGAAAATTTAAAATACATTCACAGATATGATATTATACAACCAATAATGTAGTTTATCCCCTGAATGTATTTTAAATTTTCAGCCCTGATGTTGACCCACATGTTAGGATTGAAACGTCGGCACAAATAAAAAATTATTATTTTTTTTTTAAATTACTGCATCCTGAATATTTATCACCTATAATTTTTTTTATATACTATTTTATTTCTAGAGAAGATGTCGGTGACCAACACCATATTGATCCCTTTATCGCTTAATTTTCTATTAAACTGATAAAAAATTTTAACATTGTTCGTTTTTCGTCTCATATTTTATTTTTCAGTAAAGAGGGCTCCTCTTTGTCCGACACCATCTTACTGAATGCTGAACAATTACTGCTAGGAATAAATTAGTATACAAAAAAATATATAGAGAGAGAGACTTTCACTGGAAAACAAATATCCTGATCAACTATGAACATATAAAACTGTCTCAAATTACCTAGTAATATATGTACAAGTTTCAACTTAAGAAAATTTTCTGGAAATACTTTTCTATTATATTGAAATAAATATTTCACAGGATATTGAAGAAACTTTTATGAATTCATAAACTAGCCAATTTATGTTCGATTTTCGAAAAATAATGGACCCATTCTAATCACAGGAGAAAAACAAAATAGAAATCTTTTTCTCAAAATTTATTTTATTTTCTTATTAGCAAGATCCAACTGGTTAATGGTAAATAGGAATGTCTAATCATTTTTATTTAGCAACCGAAAAGGATTTTTTCGAAATTTATTATCAAAGTTTAGTATTAATATTACAATGTTACGATGTTATTACTTATATATCACAAGGTTATAATGTTATTACTTATAGTATATGTACCAGTAATGGACACTTTTCAACTCATTAAGAGGTAATAAGCTCTACATGCCCAAAAGAGAGTGCAAATATGAGTCAATTTGAAGCTAGAACACTTATGAAAGTGATGCCAGAACCTCAGGTGATCAGTGTTTCCTTATCACGTTTCTTTTGAAGATATTTTTAAAATATTGATTCATTCGTCTATAGTTTGCCACGTCCTTGTTTAAAACTGTGGAGAATTTATTTTAATTATTTTTAATTAAATAAAAAACCTGTTGACCCCAAAATCTGGGTGTCTATTAGTGGTGCAAAATACGCTATCAGAATTTCCTCGGTTTTTTAATTCGGTAATAAACTAATTAATTGAATATAGAAGAAACAAAATTGGTAAAAGAATAAATTTGCTGCCAACTAAAACTTTTTGCAAAAATCTACTGTTAGAACTAAAGTTGTGGTTCACATCAATGTTGAAATTTGATCTTAAAGTGTCTATTACTGGTACATTTATTTTATGCTATTACTTAAGAACATTCACTCATTATTTTTAAGGAGGTATGTACGGCACAAGAATCAAGAACCCCATGAGAATAAGTGTGTAGATACAAAATTAATTAAGAACCTATTCGATTATAACATAATAACAAAAAAGTTACAAAAATGGTTCTGAGGTTTTTTCGTATGTATTACTTCATTATTCGTAATCAAAACCGATGATAGTGCTTGGCCATAATTCAGAATTCGTAGCCAAAAGATATATTTTATTATTGGTGCGCATTTGGGCAACACTACCGCCCCTCCCCTTTTCACTCCTTAAAATTGCCCCTCCGAAATATATCGTCGATAAAAATAATCACTATCGAATATGAAGTTCACCAGACTAATATCATTTCATCCCATACAATATTATCAATTCGACCAAAACAACGAGAATATTTTAACTCCAACACTAAAATGTGCTTTTAGGACTGTTTGAAGATTTTTTATTAATATAATACGGTCACTGTACTGCTGCCGTTACAGTATCCATACACGAGAACCATCTCTCTATAATCCCGATTCGTGAAATAATTCGGCATAATGGTAGGCTTAGATTTATTAGACCTCCAGAAAATCCCTCTTATCATCGACGTTAGTAAATTTAATCACTGTTTTCCCAAAGAAAATTTTGCCTACTTAACGATGGTGTACTTAGAATATAATTATCTTGAATAGTTTTAGAATAATTCCTTCTTATTCAATATAAACCATGACCAACTTAAGAAAAATACTAAATCGCTCTTCACTCCTTTTCCGTTCGGAATCGGTCCTTGCATCAAATGAACTTTTTTGTTGAAAATTATTTCTTTAATCCTCCTCCAGAGTTTGTCAATTAAGAAATGAGACACCCTGTATAGTTAACCTCTCTTATTGAACACTTCTCTATAGCGGGCAATGAAATAAATCCCATCAAGTTATAATAATTTTTTATCGTGAATCTTTCGCTTTATTCAAAGTTTTAAAATTACGGGTATGAGAAAATAAAAAATAAAATAAATTATGTTCTAAAACTTCAAACCTTAGACATCACGTAAAATTCCTCTGTCTGGAGTAGCACAGGATAACGCGCAATCCAAGCCCAACTACACTTTTAAATGCTCATTCCTGACATGGTTTGGATAATGTGTAATCAGTAATTGATTTTAGACCAAGGAATGCTATGCAGTAATGTTTCCTGAAATCGGTCTTTGCAAGACCAAGACCAAGATCTCTTAATTTTTGCAAGACCAAGACTGCCTTTTTTTTGCAAGACCGAAACCAAGATTGGTAAAAAAAAAAGAAACAAAAAGAAAGTTTTTATGAAAAAAAAGTGAGGCGAAATAGTTAATAATACCAGAAAATTTTAGTTATTATATATATATATATAGAGAGAGAGAGAGAGAGAATTGGAAGAACTAATATACTTTTGCATTTAACCTTTCCAATTTTTCATTTGGGATTTAGTCAGATTTGCCCATTCTGAAAAATGACAGTAATATCTCTATTGTATGCAGTGACAACATTTTATTGAAAGATTATTAAATTTTCGACAAAACTGTAAAAAAATCATCAAAATCAGGTCAGTTTTAGCAACGTTACAATATTGAATTGTATAGACTTATTTTAATAATTGTTCACTTGCCCATTTACATTGCTTTACTTCATCAAAGAAATCGTACTCTAATCATTTCTGTGATCGGTTATCAGGATAATTATTCTAATTCAATTGAATTATGTTTAGTAAACATATTTAAAATTAAAAAAAAAAGAAAGTTTAAAATTAGTAGGAAAGTTATATCAGTAGACACTAAATTTTTTATAATTGGTGACGTATAGATTATTCTTATTCTTAATCTCTTGCATTCCAAGCGGCTTATTACTATCATTCTTGATAATGCCTTTAATGTATTGTCAACTTAATTTAATTAATTTGGTTGGACTTTACTATGTTTATGTCAATAAAACATCTCAATGTATTGATTCTGTAGCGTTTTACTATAATCTAACATGTTTTATAAATAGAATCTTGTGAGACACCAAGACAGTGGGCGCAAGACGAAGAACCGCTTTTGGTCTTGCATTTGGATAACACTACTATGCACATATAATAAATAAGTGAACTTTTTATTTTTTATGTTTTTGTTAATACAATCATCTAAGATGTAATTTATTTTACGTTTATAAAAACATAAACTCACTGACCATAACCTAAATATTTGTGAGGACGAATGGGACCATTTCAAACATTGGGAGGGGGTGGGGGCGCGTACACACCGGCCCAATAAGGAATGACGGTTACGTTTTATATGTATAATGTATTAAACTCGACTAATCCCTAACTATAGAGTTAATCTATTGGAGCAGGTTGGCTGAGTTGGCTAACTGCAAACTGCACGTTGCTTGGCAACTTTATAAACCGAAGATAACGAGTTCGAATCAAGGTGCAGGGGGCTTTAAACACTAGAATTGTTTCTCTACCTTCCAGCCTGGCTCGTGAAAAACCCCGTATCCTAAAAGGCGAGAGAGTGGGAAAAAAAAAGTGTTAAAATACTAGATATTAGATAACGGATTTGTTTTACACTGAAAAGCGATATATTATTACAGAATGTATGAGGTTCAATTCTCAAGATATTAAAGCAATGATTATGATTAGTTTTTAGTGGTTTAGGTTGAACATTGAAAACTAATTAAAGCGGATAAACAAAACACATCTCATTTCTATTCACTGGTAATCCAGTGGAACAGACCTATTGTACCTGGAGAACTGGAGAATTCCAAGAGCGGCGAGGATAAATAAAGGGAGGCTGTCAGCCTGTTGGGGAGAGACGTGTGGGCGTGGCCCAGCCTCCCTCCATCCCTCAACATCTGTCCTCTCCTGAAGCATTCTTCATCTCTCACGATCCACCTTCTTGCCAGGTCGTCATTGGGAGGATTACAAGTATACTCAAATCGGACCGAAAATTGATATTCAGATTCTGAAAGGAGGCAAATGATTTATCCACTCGATCAAAGTGATACTACAGCGCAGAGTACCAAACTGAGGCCGCCCAGCAAGCTCCTCCAATCCGGCCCACGAAAGATTTTTTAGTTACATACTAATATTTAAAAAAATATGAAATTTAACAAATCACTCACACAAGGGTTACTACAACACTAATTGCATGTTTTTTCTTTCACAAAGCTCATTTCACAGCTGAAGTGTTGTTTATAGAACAAGATTATTTTTTTCCATCACAATCCATGGCCTTTGGGATTTAGATGGAGGTCTCATTGCGGCTAGTGTTGGCCAAATGCGAGACCAAGACATGTCTTGGTCTTGTGCAAGAGTCTCGCAACAGTATTGCGGTTCAATATTAGCTTATTACTACAGAGATATTACGGTAATTTTTTAGAAAGGAGAAACCTAACTAAGCCCGAATGAAAAATTTGAAGAGTTAAATGCAAAATTATATTGCTTATACCAATTCTTTACATATAGTAACTAAAATTGTCAAATATTCCGTAACTAATTTGCCTTAGTTTTTATTCAAAAAATTGATTTTTCTTTACCAATCTTGGTCTTGGTCTTGCTACAGTCAGCCGATCTTGGTCTTGGTCTAGCAAAATACAAGACCAAGACCAATTTTGTGGAACACTAATAACGGCCCGCGGAACTTATTGGAGGTTTCAATGTAGACTAATTATAAAAGTTTGGAGACCCCTAATATATAGAATGATTAAAGATCCACAATAAAATTTCAATCAACAAATTTTCAATGGAAATTAAAAATAGACTGATGAATAGAAGGAGAAATACTCCAATTTTAATACGAAATCTGAACAAATCCCCCCAAAATAATCTTATACTCTCCAAATCGGTCAGTTGAGCTGAAGCTTTTTCACGATTGATTTTATCCATCAAATAGGAAAGAATTTTTTTTTTTAAATCTAGTGTCTACAAAAATCTATGTCCAGTACCTCCGACAAGACAAAAGACTTCATTGGAATATATAAAATAAATTAAAAAGACAAGAAGTGTCAGGATGAAATAACCAACTCTCACGTCTTCTAGACGACACGGATCGTCACTCAACATACGAAACAAACGACTAGTCTACGACACTATACTAACAATAAGACCAATTTGGACACACTAAACAGAACTTAAGGTTAAAGCAAAACAAACAAATATTATAAAAATATAGATAACACAATCTTCTTCTCTCCATTATTGGAAAAAATACTAACGCGCTATGGTATATATCAGACCACAATATTCATAACAACTTAAATCTTACAAACACGTCAAATACATATTTCACTATTCAATTAAATATCACCTCAATGCACAAGTTCTATCAATTTCCCCCTCCCTATTACCTCCTCGACACAGATTAAAAAATGACGCAGAGATCTTCTTCTTCATCAATAACTCAATATAAAATCAAAAGCTCCATAAATCATCATTATTAAGCAAAATCACAGAAACTAATCGGTTAAATCAAATTTGCTTCATGCACTCCAGCCCAGTAACAAATGGGGTACAAAAAAACAACAAACTGAGAAAAGATATGTGCTTCAGACAGTGTCGCCCTAAAGCACTTTGCAAGACCAAGACCAAGACCGCCTAACTGTTGCAAGACCAAGACTAAGGCTGTTAAAATAAAATCGATTTTTTAAATAAAAAATAGGCAAAATAGTTTCTAATATTTGACAGTTATATTTAATATATATAAAGAATTGGGCTAGATAATAACCAGTATACGTTTGCATTTTACTCTTCTAATTTTTCATTTGGGCTTAGTTAGGTTTTTTCTATCTAAAAAATTACATTAATATCTTTATGGTAATAAGCTAATAAATAACTGCAAGACTCTTGAGCAAGACCAAGACCAAGCCCAAGACTGAGTTCGCAAGACCAATACTCGTCTTGGTCTCGCATTTGGGCTTCAGCGAACACGATAGAAGTGAAAATATCAAAAACGCGAGATTATTAATATGAAATATAAATTATAAATAATAGCTCATTATAAAGGGGATGAAATGCTGAACATTTCCCTATCTTAAAAATATTCAGATCCGATTTTTAGTTTCTGATATATTTTAATCTATATTTTCCGTAAAACTCGTTATCATTTGGTTTTCGACACTATTTTTCCTTTTCGGCTCTCTAACATGGTTTCGCGTTAAGATACAATTTTGAATAATAGTCCGTTACAGAAATAATGAAATGCTGAACAATCCCCTCGCTTACAAGTCCCACGTTTAATTTTTGCGATATTAATTTTTTATTAGTCATCTATTAGTCAACTATACCCAAGCTTTACACATCGGAAATCTGACGGCTCAATCTAATTCAATCTCCACAAAACAGTACCAAACGGGCCTAAAGAAGTTTTCACTTAAAAAATATTATATATATATATATATATATATATATATATATATATATATATATATCCATGCCTGCCAAAAATAAAACTGAGTGAATAATATTTCTATATATATTTATATTGTAAATGGAATTACATATTGAGTCCAAGGAAGAGCCGGTAGCAGCTGTCATTATATTATTGGATCTGTTCAAGAAGTTTTAACAAGGATGTCCAGGGAGAACTTCAAGCAGGAAATCGGCCTTGGAGAACATCCTGTGGCTGGAGTGGGACATTGTTAGGTTTTCCTCAGCAGTCTTTCACTTCTTGAGTGACTATTTAATACTATTTCTTGCAAGAAAATCCTACAAGATTCCGTACATCTGGTCGGGCAGTGAAGCAAATATGTAATAAATAAAACTACAACCATTATACCATTTTTAAAAGGATTTTCGAGTGGTTGAATAATTAAATGTAAGTATTGTAAGTTCAAATTTTATAATTTGAAGTTATTTAAAAAATTACGATTTACTCGTATTTTCTAATTCATTTCTAATTAATTTATTTGGTTCTTTTATACTGGTTTAATTGTATGTATATTTGATATACGCCTAACACATTTGTGCAGCGTTAGACTAGACATTTCCCAACAGTTTTCAACCCTTTTATAAATTGTTACTAAAAAATTTTCGTAATAAACCACCGATATATTATTAAATGGTAGAGTATGTAATGACTTTCATATTTTCTTTGTTTCCAATACACAGGTGAACATTTCTGGAATCCCTCTCCCCCTTATCAGAACTTTTCCCGTTTTATTTTGCTTCGTAGCCAATAGAAATACGAGGACTAATTCCCAAAACATCTATTACTTATTAAATGGAAGATATTCTATAATTCAATAAATAAAACTATTTTTGTCAATCAACAACACACTTCCCAATTACAACCTTGTATTGTTGAGAATATTGGAATTTTTAAAATAATTTTGCTAAAAATAGTCATTTAAAAAATATTGTTGTTATTAAAATTTTAGAAATAATTTTAAGCATGAAGTCGAATAAAATATCGAGCTATTTCGAGGGATACATATATAAGAGGGAATACATTTGAAATAAGTAGTTTTGTGTTACAGTAACTACAAGAAACGAAACTGGGGTGAAAATAATGGTAAGTTTAGAGGTGAGTAATATTTTTTTTTAGTTCCGAATTGCTTAATTTGTATTAAATACAAAAAAACAAAACATGAAAGTAAAAGATTAGTATAGGCTCTTACGATATGTTATTAACAACCTCCAACAGTTTTTAAAAATAAATTATTTGGGCTTAAGAAGGATGATTCAGTAAAAGAACTTATGTTGTTCCTTAGAGCCGAAATGCGTGACCTACACCCGTAAATTGATAATATTTTAGAAATGGGCTTGTTAACTTGTCGGAAAGGATAACGAACGAATCTATAGGAGGGTCGTTAGCGCCAAATTGAGGTGTAATAGTGTCCTAGGTGACGGTCAAAACATGGATGGGAGGATTGTTGATTAGGAATGTATAAGGTTCGATCTTGAGAATTTGGGATTTCGGAAAATATTGTGTTCTTACAACCATCGATCGGAGTTTCTAATCCTTTTTTATTTATTCTAGACAAGTATAAAAAAAGTTAAATTTAGTATATATCTATTTATCTTTTTCAATTTAGAACGATAATTGTTAATCAACATGACAATTCTGAAACCTATTTGGACCTATGATTTCGAATTGTGAGGAGGCAATGAAATTTCCTAAAATCAAACGCATCTAATCTTTCCAATCAAAAGTCCTTTAAATAATATTCAATGCCTTAGTAGGGTAAAACCACCAATAGTTGACAGTGTACCAATACCTGACATCCTCCTCAAAAATTTGAATAATAATATTTATTTTATATATTTTTTGTTTCTATATTTATCCTCGTATATTTGTCTGCTTGGCTTTATAAAGGCCTTACTGGGGCCTTTCGCCAGTAGCTGACAGACTTGTACTCTCATAAATTCAAGGGGATGTACTCAATATAAACAGTCTTAAAAATGAGACCATACACTACTGTCTCGTTACAGAAACGTCTGCCAAATAAGGTCAGTATAGCTTCCTCACCCTTTTCAAGAATTAAAATATTAAAATATTACAAGGTATACAATTTTTCGTATGAGAATAAAATCTTTGGGAGAAGCAGATTCGGAAATACAGTTACACTTCAACATTTACGGGCTCTATATCCACGAATCTCATTTATCAGTCAATATTAAAATGCGAAAGAATATTCCCAGAAAATGGAATTCAATGAAATTAATAATAGAAATACTGTTCTCCAAATTTCCTCCAAGTTTGGGTCAAGTCGAATTCAGACTATAGGCATATCAAATAACACATTTCCTGATCTGAAAGCGGAACTATTTTTTTTTTTTTTTGGAGTAGTAGATAGAATTTGATAAAATTTATGGCTATTTCATGTTACGTCTACCAATATCTATATTTCCTCAAAATGTGAGCTTAATCGAACTTGCGGTTTTAGAGATTTAGACAACACGTTTGCGCATATGTAAGAGAAAGCAACGAACAGAATTAAATAAAATTGACCCTAAATTATTTTTTTACAAATACCTATCTTTTATCCAATTTTAAGCCAAATGCGTTTGCGTGTGCGTAAGCGGAGGTACTGTTTAGAATTTAATAAAATTGATATGGGACCATCTAGACATCAACCCGTGCAATTCCCGAACATTTCATGAAAATTGGATGAACGTTACTAGGTGATATGCCCGTTACATCGATTTGACTACAGACAGACACCAAACCATATTTCATCCTTGATGTCTGAAATGTAAAAGGCGTATGGAAATTTTCGATTCTGAGCACAAAATTTGTTTTAACCTCTCCCACGAATACAATGCTTCCCTACCTTCGGTAGTGAGGAAGCAAAATGATATAAATGGTAGTAGTTTTATTTACTATATATTTACATTACTGCCTGATTAGATGTTCTGAATCTTGTAAGATTTTCTTGGAATCATGTATTAAATACTTTGATACCTGTTTTAGTCACTCAAGAAGTGTAAGAAAAAAACATCGAAATGCCACTGTTTTATATTAATTTTTTATAATTCTATTCCTACCATACCATGATGACCAGTAACTTGAGGATTATTTTCATTTAATTTATAGTTTGATTCCTAATTTTAAATTTTCTTTTTTTAAGATTCAGTAAACTTGCTAAATTATTCATAATTGATTCTCACGCTCGATAGTATGATTATGATATAGTATCGACGACTTAAGAAAAACTACTAAGAAGTATACTCAGAGTATTTTACTACGGATATGCATTATGGATCGCGGAACGATGGGGAAAAGAGAGCTCTGGAAATGATAGTAGCCAAAAGACGAAAAGATGTTGGGCGAAGGACTCTGCCTTAATCATAATTGTTTTTATAAGTCTAGATCAGGCATCAACTCACTACCTAAATTTTAAGCTACACCCTCTAGACATTTGGTTCTTTGGAAGCCATGCTATAAAACGGCAATTTTGGAATCAATGTGTCAAAAAACATACATATTTTTTTAAAGTTACTAGTCGTTGACAAACATATGTAAACTGAATATTTTTGTTTGCTCAAGTAACATTTGAGGATTCAATGGTACATTGAAACATGATTGCAAAAATCGTACATAGACTAAATTATAATTTATTTCGTTTTAATTATTTCTCAAGATTAATTATTAAATTATTAATACAATTAAAAAAATAATTTATTTAAAGTTTTTCATTAAATTATGAAAAAATAAAACTATACCCAACTTGGGGGGTGCCCATTTGGAAAGTCGTTATTAGAAGTTAAAATAATATAAAACATTTAAATAATTTAAAATTTCATTTCTTGTGAAATCATTTTTTTAATGATTTTATATCTCTATATTTTATCTTTATTACCTTCTATCACTAATTGACATCAGTTTATGAAATTTATTTTAAAATTATAATACATATTGTGGTTTTGCATTTTCCAATGGTTTTCTTTCCTTATAAACCAGGACCTTGGTTATATATAATCTACAAATTCATAATTTCGATATAACAAAAAAAAATAAATAAATAAAAATTTATCAGTAATCTAAAAGCATATAATTTTGATAATTATGTCTGCGTGTATTCCTTAATTCTCGTCTTACACAAACCATCACCGCCTTCCCTTTTTTGCTTTTTTTATGTACTTCATATCATTGTTCTGTTATCTTCCTTGTTTTTCCTTCCCCTTCTCATGCATTACGGGGTTTATCCTTAGACTCCAGAGGTCTGGGGATTATTGCCAGAGTTAGTCACCCAACAACGGGATTTGAACTCGAATTATATTTTGCTATAGAAGCTTATACATTAAACAAGCTTCTGGCCAAAAGTTGTCCTTCCGTCTCCCTTCTTCCCCCCTCCTCTCACCTCCTTTCTCCCTCGGATCCGCCTATATCATATAAATTATATCAGCTTTAATTGATGAAATCTACGTATTTGGAGTGCAATTTTGTTCAACATTAAACGGATTGCATTGTTATTACTAATGGTTTTGGTTCCTTGATCATTAGAAATCTCATATAAATTTCTCGTTTTCTATTTTCTTTTTTATATTCAAAATTATCTAGCCAGTAAAATGATAACGTTTTCCTATAGATTCCATACATGACTTTCAAGAGATCAAACTGACAGCGATCAGAATACTGGACCAACCAATAACCTATAATGAGATTCAGGTTTTGAAAGTCCCTGTAGCCTTGTTCGTCAATCAGCCTTGGTTGAGCGGAACCGGATTTCAAGTCGTTATACACTTTTTTTTTTTAATCTTTAAGGTCTCCCGGGAATAAGTTACTACTTCGCTGAAACTTATTTTAAAAAGCATGTTTTAGTCATGTCTTTTTTCCTTTGCTCTTAAGCCTCTAGATGCCCTTCATCCGATAAAATATGTATTTTATGCGTCCTATTAGATTGAAGTTGTCTGGAGTCGGGAATATCCAATCGAACGAGATAATCTGATCAAAAGTTTATTTGATCGTTAGCGATGGAGTTAGGTCCAAATAATTTTTTATTACAAATAGCAATAATAATAATAATAACGAAAGTTTAACGAACCTAAAGGTTCGATACTGATAATACATCGTCTATACAAACCTCCTCATACAACCTTCGAGTTCCGACTTGAAATAATATTCCCTCGATCTACGTTTCCCTTGATCTTTTCATTGGTCCATTGTAAGATATCTATGCTGAGGTAGACAAATA